CCGTGCCGCCAGGCCCTACAATAATAGTAATAATTAAGAGCATCACGGGGGTTGAGGGCTTTGTGAGACATCTGTGCAACCGAAATTTTAGCATTTTCAGCACCTGGGACCTGGCACAAGGGCTCACCGACTGAGCCCTAACCGTCCAGGTACCTACTATATAGGGTCCTATATAGTAGGTACCTGGAGGGTGAGGGTGAGACATAGCAAAGCTGCGAAGGATCCTGAGACTTATCCTGAGCCCTACGACTGGATGATCAACTGCCATAAATTCCACACCATTCTCTTCTTGCGGGAGGAGGTTCATGGTACTCCGAAGCGAATCCATCACGACAGCTACTCGCTCTGAAAAAACAGCCTCAGGCTTTCTTCACGTGCTCCCCGGATGCCGCCTGCTTCGGCCGGAAGAAAGACTTCTGCTGGTGCGACACATTCACCTGGTGAAGCCGTGCCGCGGTTTTTCTAGGAAAGGGAGGCCGGGAGACAAAAATTAAACGCCGCGTGGCCGAACCCAGGGCCAGGAAGAGGCTGAAAGCTGCCGAGTTCTGCCCCTTGTGGTCCGTGGCTGACTCGACCTCCAAGGTTCTCTACGTCCGGGGAATGTCACAGATGTGCCCAACAGCTCACATCTCAGCATTTCTGACAAGCCCTAGTGACAAGCCATCCTTTCGACTTGGTCTACCCCCCAGCCGACATTCACCGCCAGGGACGTCGTGCTCAGGTCCAGTGAAAGAAGCTGCATCACTTCAACTGCAGTATCGTCTTGGATGTCCATCAGGACCTTATCAGGTTGCAGTCGCAGACAGCACCTTCCAGCCTCCGGTTCTCGCAGTAGTCTGCCACACCACAATCAGACGATCTTGTCGGCAGCCCCGAGTGTTCGTTGCAGCTCAGGAGCTCCTCCGCCACATAACTGCACGACCAACTTCTGCGGGGGCTCCACCACCTCGACCGGATAACGGCTTCTTCCCACATGGTGTACTCTGCTCAACGACTGCACCCCCCTTCAAAAGCCAGGCGGTCAAGTCAGAGTCTCTTTCATCCGCTTACTCGGGCTGCAAGCCGGTTGGCTGGACAATGTCCCTTGCGCATGCAGCCTGGCCTCTACGTCTGCAGCACTCTGCAACTCAGTGAGTAGATCCTCCACGCTGAGCTTGTCCAGGGATGACTCCTCTGGCTCCTGTAATTACAGGCTTTCTGCTTAGATGCTTGGGACCGGGCTGCCCTCAGAGCAGCTCTTATCGCATCCAAAGCTGCGGGGTGAAGGGACGAACCACACCATCAGCTAGGTCCGCTGGTCAGCAATCTGGCTCCCACCTTGTGCCCGAAGAAGGTCCGGCTGAACCACCCGCCGGACTTTTTCTCCTGATGGGTGTGACTCCGAGAAATGGCTACTATCCTTCAAACCTTTCGACATCGCACCTGACGAAAACGAGCCAACGCTGGGCATGCCCACCACCTCCTTAGACCTGCTGCCACAACGTCCCGCAGCCTGCGGCTTGGCCTTTTTGACCAGTTCCGTAATGAAGTCTTCCGCCCTGCATCTGGCCTTGTCTTGGAGACCACCGCATGCCCCTACCCCGCCCTAAACTTAAACCCTAAACCTTCTCATAATAACGCAAACAGTGGCAGAGATTCAAACTCGAAGCTTCAGGGCAGCTTATGGACATCACCAAGCTTAACCCGCGGTATGGTGGCGAAGTCATTCGGACTTTCTCACTAGCCTGCTTTGAGCCTGAGTCTCGCATAAACACCTCTACTGTCCTGCAGTGCTTCTAAGTGATTAGCTGGGACACGTCGAACACGCCCTGCACCACTGAATTCGCATTGTGCCGTTTGACTGGCTGACGCAGGGTTTCGTCGATCAAGACATGCACATCATGCACGCAGAACCTCTTTTGGCCGAAGTACCGAAGCCAGAAGCTGCACAGGAAGAACCGTCTCCAGGGTCTCCAGCTCCTCAGAGAGCAAGGTCCCTGGCTACAAGCTCGTGAAGTCTTCTTGCAAAGGGTTCTTCCATGACATCTTGTACATAAAGCTCATAAAATAGGGTGGGTACAAAAGCGCAGATCTGCAGTCCTCTTGCTCCGGCTGTTCAAGCTGGCTGCAGTTAAGTCCAGTTTGATAAAGCGCGGCGACCACCTTCTCCTCCAAAGTCCCGTCAGTTTGCAGATCTCCACCACATGTCATGGTAATGCAAAGGCACCAACCAAGTCACACGAGAAAGACAGAGAGAGAGAGAGAGAGAGGGAGATCGACACTCCACGTTGTAGGTCTCTCAAAGCAGCATGCCTACCATACTGTACCATACCGTCAACCAGGCACAGAAGCGCCTCTGTGACATCGACATTGGCAAGGCACCGCTGGCGGAAGAGCTTGAAGTATTTGTCCTGAAGCCAATCCAGCAACGCATGTGACAGGGATGCATGTCTGCCTAAAAACGGCTCCCGGTTCTATAGGCATACCGGCCAGTGTCGGCGAAAGAACGAGAAAGCACCTGCATAAAATTAGCAGCCGAAGGCCTCCGAGTCGTCGAGGCGTGCTTTCAGCCGCTCTTCTTCCTGAAAGACTTGCTCTCGGTATGTTGCCTTTGCATGCTAAACTGAACCACCTGGACACGTGCAACTGCAAGTGTGCCTTCGGATCGACGAGAAGTTTACGCAGCTCCTCCCACTTTTTGCTCAGTGCTGTCTTCAGGGCCAGCACACCTGCACGACAACTGGCAACACCGAATCTGACTTGCGCGGTGGCACAGCGCATGGTTGCACTTTGAGTTTCCTGGCCTATGAGCTGCGAGCGCTTGGTGTGGATCTCGGTGGGCTTATCTGTACCGAGATCAACTTCCAATCGCAGCAGTCCATCATCGGGGACGTGGCCCAACTGCGAAGAAGAAAGGGAGAAGCGAGAGGCGCAGGGGCTGGATTGGGATCGGAGCTGCTATTGTCACAACGGGTTTTGAAGCCCCTGTGGACATGGTTTCAGACCCGTTCCGGATGCCAAGATTAAGCAGGGACCTGGTCATCCCCACACCCACGAGCTTTTCTCGTAAAGAGCCATGCCCACTCTTTCAAAACCCGCACCCCTTGGCCCTTGGCCTTCAACTCCGCCCGGACTGGGCTCACAAGGTTTGCCAGGGCCTGCGAGGTGGCACAGGAGGACGCAATGAAATATTCGGTTTAGGGTTTAGGGTTTAGGGTATGCTTCCGTGTCGGCTTCTTTAAGGTCCGAAGAACCAAAAACCTTACCTGTAAACCTTCGACAACCAAGGGCTCCTGCACCTGTGCCCTCTGGTCTCAATGGGGGAGTGTGCAGATGGGTCTATGATGACCAACGCATGATAGCCAAAACCAGCAACACACGGTGTTTATTGGCAGTCCAGACAGGTGCAAGAGTTGACCGTACAAGTAACCTTCCCTCATCTCACGCACATAGCGCGTAGAACCCTCTGTGCTATTCTCGGATCTGGCACCTAGATAGGTTCACAGGACGCGGGTTGAGGATGCAGACATGGATATCTCCTAGTGAGCTGGCTTTGCTCATTTGCAGGTGGTAGACCGGACTGTGGATCATTGCCATGAATTGGGTTGTTTGATGGAACATGCTCGGGAACATGCTGCAGGAAAAACGCTTGTAATGTGCAGCTCTTATACACATTATCTGTTGGCGAAGGGGCAAAATGGAGATACCGCTGGGCGGAGCGTGTTACTATGCTTGCTTGACAAGATGCTGATGGAAGCTCGCGGGGGCACAACGGGCGACTAGCTGGCAGGTAACTGAAGTAATCCTCCTTGAGGAGCAGTTTCTGGTGATTTAGCGGGCGTGGGCATGGGGTCTGTCTTGCAACTTTGGCCGCAACAGAGGGGGGGGAAGATCATTGAAACAGGGCTTGGGCCTACTCATATACCCCCAAAACCCTACAGGCGCGTATCATGTTCTTCTACAAATCTCCCGGGAACACTATTTATTTGGGATCACATAGTTGCGGATTGGCACTTTGAGGCACTTGCCTCCATCGACTGGCCATAGGCCAAGCTCAGGCCGTCGAAGCTGAGGATTTTGTACCTTGGGGTTACGAGAAGAGGTTGTTACAATAAACTGTAAAGGGTTGTTTCAATAAGGGGTTACTACAAGTGGTTGCTGTTGTATAGGTGCCGACATACCGCCTTCCTTCAGCTTTTACTCCTGCGAAAGCAGCTGCAGCTACACCTACATGGCCCTCTGAGTGCTGGCTCGCTACAGGGAGGTTCCCTTTGCCTCCAGAACCTCGTCCTGCTTGAATCTCCTCCGGCCGGCCATGGGGAAGTAAAAGTAAATTCACGTCCATCGCAGGAAAACGACACAGTGGCGTTGTTGCCAAGTCCCAACACTACCACATGGGCGAAACCAACCTTCCGTTGCCAACGTGGCTGAATCGATGTGCCTACAGTGCCTAGTTCAGCGTGTACCTATGTGTACCACATCTTGGCCGGTCCGGAAGGAGCTGTCCGTGGAGAGCACTTGCAAAGACGTCATCTTCGCAGCGCCAACAGCTGCAGGGTTGAGGCTGGAGAAGGAAACGTCCACCTTCGACAGCTCTAGGCCTGAGCCCGAACGCTCTTCACAGTAGTAGTAACAGTAGTAGTAACTAGTAACAGTAATGGTAACAGTAACAGTAATTAGTGGTGACAGTAACAGTAGAGTAACAGTACTAGGAACAGCAATAGTACTCGTAGTGCGTAGTGTCTAGTTGATCAACTGCGAAACTGCTCGCTGTAACATGGAGGCTGGCTTCCCGCCCTGGACTCTACGCTCACAAACAGCCATTTGTGATCGCTGCAAACTGGTGCTAGAGTCCAAGATTCTCAGATTGTTCACGAGACGCCTCGCAAACCTGCCGCAAAGGTGCGCAAATGAAGCGACTACAAAACTTGATGAAAAGCTGAGGAATCCGAACGCAGAGAACCGGTTCACAAGTCCCATGCGCTAACTGGGTTGCTTTTCTCGCATTCTTCTGCTTGAATTTGTGCATGCTTTCACTGCACTACATCACAATCCAGTAAAGAACGCATGCATGCATACATGGCCATGTATCCGCAGTGTTCGCCTCGGCCCCGGCCGAAGCGGTCAGAGACCCGCCCCCCCACCCTCCCCCCGGCCCTCGGCCCGCCCGGCCCCGGTTCCCTGCCGCCCCCCTACCCGTTCGCGCTGCTTTCCCTCCATTGCTTCCGCTTTTTGCACCTCCATAAAAAGTCCTGCCCTGTGCTTCTGGTTTTTTGTGCGCAATCTCCTCCCCTTCCCCGGTCCTCGCCTGCTCCGCCAACGGCGCCTTCAAGGCACCAGCAGTTCGTTGGCCCCCTTTGTTTGCGGCCGGGCCGAAGCGGACGATGCGAAGCGTTCAAAATTTGTTACTATGATATACTATAGACTATAGGTATACTATAATGAGAGTGCTGGTGTAGCCTGATGCCGAAGCCTGGCTCGGCTTGGTCGTAGGCTTCCTGCGGCAGAGCCCAGATGGGAAACTTGCAACTTGTCTTGGTAAGTCGCTCATCATTCCGAGTAAGTGCCAGATCTCACTCATGCTAAACACTTTACATGCAACCTGCCGAGCTCTCGAGACAAGGGATCTTACAACCAAACTGATGAGTGTCTGTCCTGCGCTTGCTGCTTGCGTCTCCAAACATCCTTGGAAGAGAGAAGGCAGATGTCAGCTCCAGAAAAGCCCTTCTTTGGTTTTCGGGAAGTACAGCTCTTAGAGGACCTCACCGGCTTCATGTTTGCCTGCTAGCCACCCAAAGCTCCGATCGAGGCCGCCTGAGGACAACAAAACCCCGGTGAAAGCCTGATTGAGCTGACCTGGTCCAAGGCACTCGAAGTTGGGCCATGCGTAGCTCGATGGCTTGTAGCTTGGTATCCCTCATATTTTTCCTGGTCGCTGTCTGATGCTTTCTGTTTCTTTTCGCTGTGCGCGGTTTCCAAACTTCTGCAGTCGAGCGAAAGGGGTGAGGAGATGCTAACACGAAGGTTCAATCTGGCTCTGCCCGTGTAATCCTGCGGTGCCTATGAATCTTGCTGCTCAGGGGTTCAAGACGTCGCGCATTTGCAGACCAATGTGCCGACGATCGATAGATCTTAGACATGCATGCGTCCTGAGAACAGACTCCGCCAAGCTCTCTGTGAGATGTTCGGCTTGCAGCTGCACACCCTCGACTTCCACGCTGATCTTTCCTGTCCAACTGCGAAGTGCTGCGAGTCTCCCCTGGAGCTCAACCAATCCCACTGACGCGCCTGAGAGAAGCCTCGTCTTGCTCGGCAATGTAATCTTGATTCTATGAACACGGCCATTTCGTACTCGAACACCTGGCGAAGGTGCCAATTTCTTGCGGAAGGTGTGGCAGGGAGGAACCAGGTGGCCTTCCACGCCTAGGAGACCGAGAACATCTTCCTTGACCTGCGCATGGAGGAGATTGGAGGAGGCAAGCCCTTCTTCTTCGCCAACCTAATGACATTTTTGTCTGCTGTTGTCCTTACGGCGCAGGCAAGGGTGCATCCAGACTACAACTGGCATGCTGGCGACCACGAGACGGGTGATCAAGCCGGGTCAGAGTTTACGGGCCTCCACGGGGAAACTGCACCAAACACCCAGTAGTCCGGCTGTTTCAGTGCCTTCAGGTCCTTGAGCTCCAGGTTTCCACTCCAAAGTGAGAGCCGCAGGTCGTTGCTGTCGATTCCATCAACCTCGGCTTCGATGTTGAGATCCGGCCAGGGCCGCTCAAATCATCTCGGGGCGAGACGTAAGGCTGAAGGAACTTGACCAGCACATGCTCAATGGCCGCAGTGACCATGGCGCCAGGTGGCTGCGGTTCCTAATGTGAGCAGTTTCAGGTGGGCTGGGTTAGTGCTATGTGCTAAGCCGTGGCCAAAGGCCGAAGAATGACAGCAGACTGTCTTGAGTCAGGTTGGGGGGTTGACTGACATGCATCATGAACACTGCGGCTACTGCTGATACAAGGTGGTTGTGCTATTGGTGGTGTTGCGCATCCCTACTTTTGCTTGTCGCTTCGGGCTTGGGGGAATCCTGGGGGTTGGATCGGAGCGAAGCGGCGAGCTCTGCACAACGCGGTGAAGGGATCAGTCACATCGCCGCATTCTGCAGTCTTAAACAGAAGCGACAGACCAGGGAACGTAATCCAGTCGTCGTCTAGTCCTCGATGATGCTCCGGACAACGGCGAAGTCGTCATTTCCCCTTGGCTGAAACCCCGATAGTCTGCATCTGAGAAATAGCTATTGCACCACAAACCCTCACAAGTGATGCAACAGCGCTTCCATGATGGCGACAGGCAGGACAACACAGCTTGTCGAAACTGGGCTGTCTACGCCATTTCCGAGGGAGCCTCAGCAACTTTACTGGCTTACCCTGATAACTTCTGCAGATTGAAACAAACACACATACTCATACGCATATATAGATGTATACATATGTGCATATACACACATATACATATATACACACGCACAACTAGACAGTTACATACATATAGAGATAGATATACAGATATGCGCGCAGATATGAAGACATGCATATATATATATATGTATATATATATATATGTATGTGTATATATATATATATATATGTGTGTGTGTATATATATATACGTATGTATATATATATATATACACATATATAAATACATATTTGCGCTCACATATATCATGTATATATGTATGCTCGCATATATGTGTATGGAAGCTCCCAGGAGTGCTTGCGTGAGAGATGCGTCACTGAGACTCAGAATGCCCACTGAGCTGGGACAACAATCAGCAGGTCAAAAAACGAAGTCACCCAGATACCGGGAGGTGGGGTGGTCTGAGGTTCAGGCCAACACCAGGCTCGGCTCAACAGGACAGAAGTCTTGATCCCAGAAATGCTGCAGATGGCTGTCTGAAGCGACCGAATCGGAGCATTGCCGGACACTCTGAATCTGCCTCAGCTTGCATTTTATATTATCTGAGCATATCTGACCATTAAGCTGCACACCTCGTGCATCCTGATGTCTCTTGATGTTCGATTCACAGCTTGCTTTTTCTGTTCCTGCTAAAGTCTTAAGCGATAGATGCTCCTCGGAGCTGTGTACATAGAGATCCGATGCCAATGTCTGTTCTTGGGACACCCGCGTCTGCCTGAGTTTTAACCCGTTCAGTAATCTGGGTGCTCTGCAGTTTATGTTGCAAGTCTCTGGCATCGGACGCTCTGCGCAGTCACAGAGTCACTGCGCGCGTAGCTTCGCCGCGGTCCCCATTCCTGGCTGCTTTGGCCTGCAACAGGTGTGCGCAACGCATGCCTGCGCAACGCATGCCAGCATCGCCCAGTCACCCAGCATACATTAACAGGTATAGAAAACATCCCTGATCTTGATCACCGGAAATCCCAAGTCCGTTCCCCCTGCTGCGGCTGTGGCACCGGTGGCGTCTTCAAGGCGGCGATTGTGGCATGCTGTGGATGAGAGGGCTCAATGTCAGCAAAGAGACCTGGATCAAAACTCAGAAATGTGCACTGCTGTAACAAGAGTGCACGGTAGAGCAAGCATGGCGATTCCGCTCAGGCCTGACGTTTTCCAGAAGGCTCCCTCGGCGGGTGCCTTTCGTCTTGCCTCTCCCCAAATCATCTCACGAGCACACTCGAAGGGCCCACGGCCCTCGCGTTTCGCTGGGCGCCTTCTGCGAGTTGTGGTTCGCCTCGCCTTACAGAAGCCACCAATGTCAGGCATTGCAGACACACCGAATCAGACCTCCGAAGCAGACACCACACCATCACATCTCCGAAGTGCACGACATGCTCTCCTTCCGCCGTGATCATACCAGGCCGGGCCGCGTCGACAAAGGGCCAGAGTGGGCCGCAGCGCAGCGAGGAACCTCGGTTAACCCACTGGCCCGCGAGTGCTAGGCAAAGGGGCCTCTGCTTTCAGCCGAGGCACGCCGGCCACAGCTGCCGGTCGTCCTACACTTTCCAGGGAGCCCAATACCCCTTAATTAAGGAATATACCTGGAATTATGGGGGCCTAAATATTATGGTTTAAGCTACATTCCTTAATTAAGGGGTATTGGGCTCTCTGGGTCTTGCAAGTTGACGATATGCCCTGTTCTCGCTTTGGAGCCGGACTTGTTTCGCGGTGCATGCGGTGCATAGAACAATCTGAATCTGAGACTGCCTTTTCTTCTTCGTTTCTGGTTCTGTCGAAAGGGCAGGAGGACTCCCCACCCCGTCCTACCCCCTCTGTCTTTTCTTGCTCTCTCTTCTTCCATACAGCCCGCATGCGCCCTGGTCTCCGTTGTCTTTTTGTGCGAAAGCTTTGTAGGATGAGCATGGCCGTACTGCAACTCTTAAAGCCCCCCTGTAACGAACACTAATGACTAATGTAACCCCGGCCTCTTCTCATCCAAAGGCGTTTGCCGCTCTCGCTCTCTCTCTCTATCTCTGTCTCTCTCTGTCTGCTTCTTCGCCCAGCCCTCCTGCTGCAAAGATGAGGGTGGGCAAAGACCCCCGCCCGGCACGCAGTGGAGTCCCATCTCGCTCGGAGCACTCCCTCCCTTTTTCTCTCAATCCCTCTTGTACAGTCAGCAAGACTTGAGGGAGAGAAAAGGCACACCGTGAGACTCCTCCGCTTCCCTCTCTCTCGCTCTGTTTTTCTTTCTCTCATTCCCTTACTTTCTCCCACAGGGTAGACCGTGCGCGCCAGGCGTGGGCTGCATTACAGCAGGGAGGCGCCGAGATTGTGCTCGGAAGATGTCCTCCATCAGCTGCTTCTGCAGTTTCTGCCATTTCTGCATCGAAGCCGACTCCGAAGTCGTCAATTGGCTACCAGGCGGTGAACGAAGCAACACTGCCTGCAGCCGGCTTAGACGTGGGCAGGGGGGACGCCTTTGCCACTTCGTGGCGTCGAGTTCAATGGTCAATCACTCTCATGAGCTGAAACCCGTGAGCAAGCAGTCGAGCAGGCATGGACACTGGGAACATGGAGAAAAGTGCTTCACCTAGCACTTCAACAAAGCTTCCAGCAAGGCCATGCGAGGCCTCCGCTGCCCAAACTGCTCGCTGCAGCCGTTCACCTTGTCGCAAATTTCAATCGAGCCGGGGCCAGGGAGAACAGGCACGTTTCTGGACAGGACAAGACGCACTGCTGAGTGACATCTCACACGGAAAAGCATGCAAGGCCAGATGCGCACTGACTGACATTCACAAGTCATCCAAATCCCTACCCCCTAAACGCAGCGCAGGGGCCGCCCAGCTACTATGCTTAAGCCCCTGGATGCCCCTGGACCTCGATGCAGCCACGTGGGTACCAGAACACGCTCTTCCCAGCACCGATACTGATAGACAAGCTCACCGCCCTACGGATCCGAAGAAAGCGCGAGCTCCAAGCTGAATGGGTACGAGTACGTCGAGTACGCACACGGAACATACGGAACTTGCGAGCGCTGGGGCCGGTATAAGAAAGTCTCCGTTTATGTTGCTCATCTCGCGGAGCCGATTCCAACTGCCGGGTAGTCAACACCATGTCCGGGACGTTGCTCTTCGGCCGGCAACGTGCCCGATGGGATCGGCCCCATCGCACAGGAGGGGGCAGGAAGCACCAGTCGAGCAGATTCCAGCTGGGGTGTCGGGGGGCCTTCCACAATCGCACTCGACTCTCACGGCCACTGCAGACCTTAAACCCCAAACTTGTTTAATCCTGTGGCTGGCCTCCGCCGTCCATGGAATCGCCATCAAGCACCCGCGACAGCGCCTCCAGTGCTTCCCCAGCCTCGCCGCCTTAGGTGAGAAGCAGTGCTTCGTGAAACTTTGTGGAGTTGAAGGGTTTTGTAGTGTGGGATGTCAAGCTGGCAATGCAACGCGCAAACAAAAGTGTCTGCCAAGGCCACAGCTTAGGCTGGGCCTCATGGCGATACTCAGCTATGCCGTTCTGCAGTGTATTCTGCATCTTTCTTGGATTTTGCGTCACTTTTCACAGGACTATGCTCATGTTGCCTGGGGGCCAGACACTGGCAAGTTGCGGCACAAGCCTCCCGCCGGACTGCTCGACTCCATCGGAAGCCTCCACTCGGAGCTTCTGCAAAGGCCTGAACGTGGGCGGTGCATCTTCGGTCAGGAACAAGCCCAGACCTCCTGCAGTTAAATGAACAGCTAGGGGCGCCGAACTCTTGTCATCATGACCGGAGAGCACATCAGAACTTCAAGAAGGTCCCCCCCAACCAAAAGCAAAACCTCCATCCTGCACCTCGAGGTAGCTCGGAGCCGGGCCCAGGACACCCCAAGCCTCGCGGCAGCAAGCGCGGCTCTGCGCAGAGCGAGGCTTTCAAAAAATCTCTGACTTTGGTCCCCGCGAGGCGCCTTGGCATAGGCCTCGCGCAGGGGACTTGGCCCTTTGTTGCAGGGCACCTCGACGAGGAAGTCATCCCAGGGTTGAGCAGCTTCAGCCTGACATGTGGGTGGGTTGAGGCTTTCGTCGGTAGTACATTAATATATATATATATATATATATAATATAATAATAATAATAATAATAATAATAATATGATATAATATGATATATATATATATATAGAAGGGGAACCAAGTAAGGAAGGAATGAAGGGCGCGCCGCCTGTGTAGGTTTTGATTTGTTACCTCTCTAGCTGTGTATCTTGAGTCTGACTCTTTTATCCGTGTACGCAGCTGTCTGTCAAGCCTGCCCCTGAGCGAGGCATTCAACTGTGGACCATTATTTGACACCCCTGCCTGGTGACCTAGTGACCTTGGACCTTGCCTTACTAACTTTGATTGGTCGACAATAATTCTGCCGC